TTATCCTCCTCGCCTTTCTCCTGTTGTCCCGCTTCTTCTCCATCCCAATCTCTCATGGTAATTCCCCCTGTCGCACCCGAGACACGTCCGCAGGGCGGGCGGCGCGTGTCGCCGGAGAGTTCCTCACCCTATTCTGTTTTGAACCTAGACTGCGCAGCAAACGTTTCATGGGTTGAGGGCGCTTCTTCCTCCTCATCCTCCTCATTCTCCGTTTCTTCCAGTTCCTCCATGTCCTCCTCCTCCTCCTCCTCCTCCTCCTCATCCTCCTCATCTTCCTCCTCCTTCTCTCTCTCCTCCTCCTCCTCCGCCTCCTCCTCCTCCTCTCCTCTTCCTCCTCCTCCTCCTCCTCCTCCCCCTCCTCCTCCGCCCCCTCTTCCCTCTCCCGTCCGCCTCCTAAGCGCCCTCCTCCTCCAACGATTCATCCGCATCCTCCTCCTCTTCCTCCATTCCTTCTCCATATAAACAACTCTTCCCTGTCGCACCGCGAGACCAGTTTTCAGGGCGGGCTTGGCCTTTCGCCTATCTCACCATGTACGATTCTTACGCTTGAGAATTGGCAACAGCTTTAACGATGGAAGGCGGGTCGGTGTCAAAATGTGGCTCTCGCCAAAGCACCGCGCAGATTCGTCTAAAAGATGCAAGAACTTCACGGATTGAGGGCGAGTGGTTTCGAAATGTGGCTCTCGCCTAAGCGCCGCGCGCACTCGTCTTAAACATGTGCAAGAATGTCACGGGTGGAGGGCGAGTGGTGTTCGAATTGTGGCTCTCGCCTGAGCGCCGCGCACACTCGTCTTAAACATGTGCAAGTATTTCACGGCTTGAAGGCGGCTCTTTTTTCAAAATGTGGCTATCGCCGTAGCGCGGCGCACCTTCGTGTTAACACAGTGCAAGAAGATCATCTAGTCCAATGGCCAGCGTACCAAACAAATGTGTATTGTAAGGACTTAGGCTTGCAAGGGTGCACAAGTTACGTTGGCTTGCGGTGGTCAATTCCCAAGCATGACTTCCTGACGCGATTCAGGATCGCCAAGTGCGGTTGGAATGCCGAGTAAAATATGTCGGCATGCTTCAGGGTCTTGTCTTCCAACAAAAACAGCTCCATCAGCAAACATTAACCTTTGTAGAGGCCTGTGGAGAGGGAAGATGGAGGAAGGGATTATTCCAACAACGTTGATGCCTATTGGGTTTACACTGGTCCTCCTCCTCCTCCTCCTCCTCCTCCTCCTCCTCCTCTTCCTCCTCTTCCTTCTCCTCCTCCGCCTCCTCCTCCTCCCCCTCCTCCGCCCCCTCCTCCCCCTCCCCCTCCCCCCCGTCCCCCTCCCCCTCCCCCCTCCCCCTCCTCCCTCCCCCTCCCCCTCCTCCTCCCCCTCCTCCTCCCCCCTCCGCCTCCTCCTCCTCCTCCTCCTCCTCCGCCTCCTCCGCCTCCTCCGCCTCCTCCTCCTCCGCCTCTCCTCCGCCTCCTCCTCCTCCTCCTCCTCCTCCTCGTCCCTCCTCCGCCTCCTCCTCTCCGCGCTCGTCCCGCCTCCTCCTCCTCCTCCTCCTCTCTCCTCCTCCTCTCCTCCTCCTCCTCCTCCTCCTCCTCCTCCTCCTCCTCCCTCCTCCTCCTCGTCCAGTCCGCGTGCTCGTCCTCGTACTCGTCCTCGTCCCCCTCCTCGTCCTCCTCCTCCTCCTCCTCCTCCACCTTCTCCTCCGCCTCGCTCCTCCTCATCCTCCTCCTCCTCCTCCTCCTCCCTCCCTCCCTCCCTCCCTCCCTCCCTCCCTCCTTCCCTCCCTCCTTCCCTCCCTCCCTCCCTCCCTCCTCCCTCTCCTTCTAGGACCGCAACCAGCTGCACGCAGGAGATGACGTACGCCACCCTTTCCCTATCTCCCACTTCCGTCCAGCCTGGGTGGCAGACAGGTCGGCTTGAGACGCTCAGGCCCAGGCCTGGCCTGCGCTTGCCCGGCACGCAGGCTCGAAACGACTGTCCCCTTGTCAAGAGGCTGCATGGGCTGACCATAAGTAGAGACATTCTCGTCCAACCCTCAGTGCGGGAGCACTGAAGAAGAGGACTCCTCCACCCAGGAAGCCTTGCCCTCCCCCTGGACGAGGAGGAGGAGGAGGAGGAGGAGGAGCAGAAGTAGTAGGAGGAAGAGGAGAAGAAGGAAGAGGAAGAGGAGGAGGAGGAGGAAGAGGAGGATGAGGAGGAGGAGGAGGAAGAGGAGGAGGAGGGGGAGAAAGAGGAGGCAGGAGAAGGCGGGTGCAGGACCGTCCTTCCCACCACACAATGACGCGCATAAATACCCTGAAGCGCGTCGGCGGACAAGCCAGGAGCAGAGCAAGCCTCACTCTCCTGCGCGCTTCACGAGGCGCGCTCGTCTTGGTGCTCCCGCGCTGCCCGCCCCACGTGAGAAGAGCAACTCCGCAGCCCCGGCCGCTGGGCGCGAGGAGCCATGTTGTTTCCCGCGCCCCTGCGGGCGACGTGAGGAAGCCGCAATTCTCTCATCCGAGACTCTTGTCCAGGATCGGGCAGCTGATCCTTGCCGACGATGATGCAGCGGTCGAAGTGGGCGAACTCCATCGCGGCCCAGACGACGGTGGCGATGTCCTCGGTCTGCAGCGAGGGGCTCATCTCGCAGGCGGGCAGGAGAGACATAGAGACAAGGGGGAGAGGAACGAAACAACAGAGAGACAGAGAGAGAGAGAGAGAGAGAGCAAGAGAAATAAATAAATCAATTCGCCGGCCCAATGGGCCAAAGGCGTGCTAAGATCTGCGGTAACAAGGTAACAATATAACAAGTTCGCGCGCGCGAGGCGGCCCCTGGGGGTCCCGACGCGACAAGTACCCGGCCAAAGTCCCGGCAAATGCCCGTCAGAGATGCCCGAGGCCACCCAGACGGCCTCAAGAGGCGCCCAAGACGGCCTCAAGAGAGCGCCCAGACGGTCCACGAGCCCTTGGAGTCCTCGAAAGATCGGCCGACGATGATCAAGATGGACCCACGACTGTCCAAGAGGCCGCCAAGACGCTTCAAGAGGCCTCAAGAGAGACTCGAGGGGCTTTCCACGAGGGCCCCAACAAGCAAAAATCGCCCCATTCCTCTCGGAAACCATATATTTGTTGCATGTGCGACGTTTCTCGTCTTTTCGGCCTACAAACGCTCCAAGACGGCCCAAGAAGCCCCCAAGACCACCCCAAGACGGCCTAAGAAGCCTCCAAGAGGACCCCAAGACGGCCCAAGATGGCCCCAAGACAGCCCAAGAGGCGCCCAAGATGGCCCAAAAGGGCCCCAAAACGGCTCCTTAAGAGAGGCCCGAGACGGGGACCAGGAACCGAAAAGTCCAGCCTTCAGTCCCGAGATGCCCCCAGGAGGCCCCAAGAGACCGCCAAGAGGCCCCCAGGGCCCCCAAGAGGCACCCCAAGAGGCACCCCATTGAGCCTCAAGAGGCCCCCGAGAAGCCCAAAGAGGCCCCAACAAGGCCCCCCAAAGGATTCAAAACTGCCTACCAGAGGCCCCCAAGAGGCCCCAACACGGCCCCCAAGCGGCAGGGCAATATGGGCCGGCGGAATGAGCGAAACGATTGAATGAAGAAAAATGGAGGATCAGGAGGGAAAGGAAGGGGTAGGAAAGAGGCAGCAAGATCAGTCAACGTCAAGCCGGGGAACTGGATCGGATCGGAGGCTGCAGCGGCACGGAGACGGAACGGAACGGAATCGCACCGGCTGCGCCAGGATGCATATTTGCGTCGTGCACGCAGCGGGCCAAATCAGACCTCTGGAACGCCGATGTCGCATCGGGTCGAGCCCCAGGAGCTACAGACAGAACCGCATTGACCGACTCGGGCTGGGCCGAAGGATGCGGACCCCTTGCCCGGCTCCGCCCTCCCCTCCTCCAGCCCCACAACCCGCGGGGCCTGCAGGTTCGGGATCACCACCGTGTTGCCCATGTCCAGCCACCCTGCGGGGAGGAGCAGGTGAACGTTTTTGATTCGGCGCTTCGGCACTGGGCGGAAGGGGGGGGAAGGGGGGGGAGTGGAGGGTCTTGCTCCGGAGCTCTACTGGATGCGACTATTTACAACGGTGCGTTGGGGGGGGAACTCCACCTGCCTGAATCAGCCGCCCCAAACAGCCAATATCCACTCCATGGGGGGGGAGGGGGTGCGAGGGCCTGCGCCGATCGACAAAACGATGGACAAGAGAACGATCGCCAGTGGAGGCCCGACCCCAGCATTCGGGGGCGGCCAAGAGAGGGGCGTCCAAGAGGGGGGTGCAAATCATGGCCAGCGGCATGTGCGCGGCCGAAGGGGGGGCCGGGGACGCATTGAAATAATTACTCACTGCGTGGAGTTCCCCATATGCGCATCTCATGTTTTATGTCATGCCGTGGTGAGCGTCTGTTCATGAGCGGTCGACTACAATAGCGCGTCCACGTGGGCGACAGGGCCGACGAAGACGAGTGACCCCTAATGCGAGTGATTGCGTATGAGTCAGAGTGAGCTTTGAGTATGGTTGAATGCGAGCCTCTTCCTCTTCATCCCCCCTCCTCAGCTGCCAGGCCTTCCCCTTTTCAGCCCGTGGTAGCTTTGGAGCTTCCCACATGTGCATATGTTGTAGGATAGTTGGCAGTGGGATATGTAAGACGAGCGTTTAGCCACACAAGGCCATGAGTGCATGTCATGTTGGAGGATAGTGCCACGGTGAGCATGTCCAACGATCCCCGCACACAACCACCGCCCCCCCCCCCCTCGCAGTCACCCCCTATGAATGTATATATATATAGATACACATACATATATACATATATGTATATATATGTATGTATATATATATATATATATACATATGTCCTGGACTTCGGAACGAACGTTCTGCTCGCGTCAAGGACCTTCGAGCAAAGCGCCCTCCTCCTCCTCCTCCTCCTCCTCCTCCTCCTCCTCCTCCTCCTCCTGTTCCTGTTCCTCCACCCCCTCCCTTCTCCTGCTCCTGCTCCTCCTCCTCATCCTCCTGCTCCCCCTCCCCCTCCGCACCCCCATGCCCTTCCTCGCGATCCCCCGCCTCCTCCTCCTCCTCCTGTTCCTCCTCCTCATCCTCGTTCCTGTCATTTCCCTCCCTGTTGAGCCCAGAAACAAGCGAACCGCCTGAGACATCCCCACAAAATGGCCGCGAACGTGCCCGTGCAACCACCCCTGGCGGCTCCCCATAGGGGTGCTGCAACCAGCGCCCCGCTTGAGACATCGTCACAATCTGCTCTCAAAGCGAAGGATGTTGAGCCCAGAAACAAGCAAACCGCCGGAGACATCCCCACAAAATGGCCGCGAACGAGCCCGTGCAACCACCCCTGGCGGCTCCCCTTAGGGGTGCTGAAACCAGCGCCCCGCCTGAGACATCCTCACAATCTGCTCTCCAAGCGAAGGATGTTGGGCCCAGAAACAAGCAAACCGCCTGAGACATCCCCACAAAATGGCCGCGAACGAGCCCGTGCAACCACCCCTGGCGGCTCCCCTTAGGGGTGCTGAAACCAGCGCCCCGCCTGAGACATCCTCACAATCTGCTATCCAAGCGGAGGATGTTGAGCCCAGAAACAAACAAACCGCCTGAGACATCCCCACACAATGGCCGCGAACGAGCCCGTGCAAACACCCCTGGCGGCTCCCCTTAGGGGTGCTGAAACCAGCGCCCCGCCTGAGACATCCTCACAATCTGCTCTCCAAGCGAAGGGTGTTGGGCCCAGAAACAAGCAAACCGCATGAGACATCCCCACAAAATGGCCGCGAACGAGCCCGTGCAACCACCCCTGGCGGCTCCCCTTAGGGGTGCTGAAACCAGCGCCCCGCCTGAGACATCCTCACAATCTGCTCTCCAAGCGAAGGATGTTGAGCCCAGAAACAAGCAAACCGCCTGAGACATCACCACAAAATGGCTGCGAACGAGCCCGTGCAACCACCCCTGGCGGCTCCCCTTAGGGGTGCTGGAACCAGCGCCCCGCCTGAGACATCCTCACCATCTGCTCTCCAAGCGAAGGATGTTGGGCCCAGAAACAAGCAAACCGCCTGAGACATCCCCACAAAATGGCCGCGAACGAGACCGTGCAACCACCCCTGGCGGCTCCCCTTAGGGGTGCTGAAACCAGCGCCCCGCCTGAGACATCCTCACAATCTGCTCTCCAAGCGAAGGGTGTTGAGCCCAGAAACAAGCAAACCGCCTGAGACATCCCCACAAAATGGCCGCGAACGAGCCCGTGCAAACACCCCTGGCGGCTCCCCTTAGGGGTGCTGAAAATGAGTATGCCTGAGTATCCTGAGTATGAGTAAGTCTGTGTATGAGTAAGTCTGTGTATGAGTAAGTCTGGGTATGAGTAGGTCTGTGTATGAGAAAGTCTGTGTATGTGTACGTCTGGGTACTAGCCGGCCGCTCTGCGGTTGATCGGGAGTTTCTGTATATAGAAGAAAGTGCGTGCGCCTGTTGGCGAGGATGAGGATGAGGTTCCTCCTCCTCCTCCTCCTCCTCCTCCCTCCTTCTCTTGCCTCCGTCTGTCCTCCTCCACCCCGCAGCTCCATCATCTCCTCCTCCTCCTCCTCCTCCTCCTCCTCCTCCTCCTCCTCCTCCTCCTCCTCCTCCTCCTCCTCCTCCTCCTCCTCCTCATTCCTCCTCTGGGCACCTCCCCCAGGGCGCGGATCCACCGGATCTGTCCGGATCTGTCCGGAAACGGTGCGGAGGCCGCTCTGGGCTCCTCTGGGCACCTCCCCCGGGGCCGGTTTTGTGAGGATGTCTCAAGCGAGGGCGCCGGTTTGGGATTCGTCGGCGGATCCACCGGATCCACCGGATCCACCGGATCTGTCCGGAAACGGTGCCGGAGGCCGCTCTGGGCTCCTCTGGGCACCGGGGCCGGTTTTGTGAGGATGTCTCAACTTTGATCGTCGGGTGGCTGTAAGTGCGGTAAGAGCGTTCATCTTACATAATCTTAGTTAAGCCATAGAACGTACACTTGTTGATCGCGCATCTCATGTGTGCATATGCAATACTTATGGTGTGTGTAAGTGTAGATGTAAGTAATATACTAAGTTAGATATCTCTGCTAAGTCGATGGGGCTGAACATATTCGTGTTTTTGCTAATCATTTGCGTATTTTTTATTCTTAACTTTTTTGAAATCCATTGAATGTCCGTTGTTGTTGTTGTTCAGTTGTTCAGGACCGAGGCGCCGCAGGTACTTGCTGTACCTCGCGGCCGCGGCGCTGCGGGCTGCGCGCATGCCCGCGGGGAGGGGGGAGGGAAGGAGGAAAATGTTTATCCATGTGTCTTCGGCCCTCCCTTATCCCCCCTTTCCTTAGGCGGCGCGCCGCCTTCTCCTCCGTCGCCTCGTCCTCCGTCGGCGGTAATCCGCCTTCTCCCCCCCCCATGGCGGCAATCCGCCTTCTCCCCCTCCGTGGAGGCAAACCGCCCTTCTGGCGGCAAACCGCTTTCTCCTCCTTTGGCGGCAAACCGCCTACCCCTTCTGGCGGCAAACCGCCTTCTCCTCCTCTGGCGGCAAACCGCCTACCCCTTCTGGGGGCAAACCGCCTACTCCTCCTCTGGCGGCAATCCGCCTTCTCCTCCTCGTGGCGGGAAACCGCTTCTTCCCAACCGCCCTATCGG